ACTGGGTGTTCACTGTAATCATCACTGCACTGGGTATTAAACTGTACTGGGTGTTCACTGTAATCACTGCACTGGGCATTAATAAACACTACTGGGTGTTCACTGTAATCACTGCACTGGGCATTAATAAACACTACTGGGTGTTCACTGTAATAATCACTGCACTGGGTGGTCACTAATCATACCTACTGGTTATAAATCACTGCACTGGGTGTTCACTGTAATCATTACTGCACTGAGTATTAATAAACACTGTACTGGGTATTAATCACTGAACTGGGTGTTCATTGTAATCATCACCGCACTGGGTATTAATCACTACTGGGTGTTCACTAATAATCACTGTACTGGGTGTTCACTGTAATAATCACTGCACTGGGTATTAATCACTGTACTGGGTGTTCACTGTCATCATCACTTTGCTGGGTATTAATAAACACTGTACTTGGTGTTCACTGTCATCATCACTGTACTGGGTGTTCACTGTAATCACTACTGAGTATTAATCACTGCACTGGGTGTTCACTGTAATCATCCCCGCACTGGGTATTAATAAACACTACTGGGTGTTCACTGTAATAGTCACTGTACTGGGTATTAATAATCACTGTAAGAATCATTGCACTGAGTATTAATAATCACTGCACGGTGTATTCAGTGTGCTGTCTGTTATTCACTGTACAGATAAATCCTGTTTTTCAGCAATAGGTGGCTCCTGAAAAGACTGCCAGACCCAGAAGCAGGAATGTAATTTGACAGGAGGCATAGGTGAGGTGAGCTCTTTAAACCTCCTGTGTGAGGCTGTCGGGGACTGTGGTGCAGTGAGACACTGGGGACTGTGGTGCAGTGAGACACTGGGAGGAAGAGCTCAGCGTTGTCCCCATGCAGGTACTTCTCCCTCCTCCCTGATGCAGCTCTGTGTGCGATTCACAGGACAACAGTGGGGAGCTCAGAGAGCAGGTGGAGTCAGAAACTCCTGCTGGTGCACCTGACTCAATATTCTGTGCAAACCAGGCAAAGAAACGACATGGAGCCCTTCTCTTGGATATTAACTGTGCTATTCAAATCTATTTTTTCTTAATTATTTTGTGACATGTTTATTTGAAGAAATTTTTGTCTCTAACAGTGTTTTTCTTGAATTGTTTTACTACATATTCACTACGCTGGGTATTCACTTGTAGTGCTTAGTCACTTTGACAGATTCACTAAGAAATAACCACTGTACTGCTTATTCACAGAAACTAGTAAGTTTCTTGCCTGAATAATTACTGACTTGTGTATTCACCATTAATTGTTCAACACTAAACCAGTGTTTTTCCTGAATATTCACTTTATTGGTGGTCCCAGTCTGGTGAGAGCAGGAGGACTGGGGATACCTCTGGGATCCTGAAGGAGGAAAAGTCAAGAGGGAGGACAGACGCCCCAACATCGGAGCTCTCTCCTAGTCGGACACCAGGAGCCCCGACTCCCACATCCTCCCCCATCGGCTCCATCTCTCCGGTCGTGTCGTCTGGACGTCAGACTCCAGGATCTCGGGGAAGGTTCCCTCCTCCCAGCCCGGCTCAGGCATGAGGAGTCTGGAAGATCTGGGAGAAGCCAACAGGAAGAAACTCCTCCTGGACCTCGACTCTGGGAGGATCCCCAGCGCCTGGACCCCCCCACAAGACTCAGGCTGGCCAGGAGGAGGAGCCCAACGCCTGGACCCCCCGAAGACTCAGGCTGACCAGGAGGAGCCCTGGGGTGTCATCAGAACCCCCAGACAAGGTGAGGAAGGGGTAAGAGCCTGTGGACAACACACCTGTGTCTTTCCAGGACGGGTCACCAGAACAGCAGCTCTGGACCAGAGTAGTCGGGACTTGATGGAGCACAGGCTGCCTTCAGGCATGTTTATTCCCACCAGACGCAGCTCCTGCAGGGAGAACTCGGCCCCCGCAGGCAGGGGGAGGTCAGGGAGGCTGTGGGACAGGTGAGGATGGAATGGGAATGTGGGAGCTGCCCCCCCATGTTGGGAAACAGGACCAGGTAGCCAGGTCAGATGGGGGGGTTGGGGGGGGGACACGGGAGCCTGTGAGGCTGATGATGATGACGATGATGAAGAGCTGCTGGTGACCCTGGTCCAGATGGAGAGCTGGAGCCCCAAGAGGGCTCCTCGTATCGGGGCTCCAGGGGGTGACCCTCAGGACTGTGTCCTGACCTCCTGGTGTCTCTCGCCCCCAAGAACCTGGTCAGTGTGCTGTTGACACTCTCGTACCCGAGTCCAACACCAGCCTCCAGCGCAAACACAAGGTCAGGTTAGTCTTGTCTCTCCTGTCACACCCGGGGCTGGAACCCACAACCCTACTAGTGAGAGAGGAGTACTGCTCATGTTCAACCAGTATTGATACTGGTAATATTAATTTATTGACAGCACTAGCATTAGAATCTAATTATCAGTACTAAATATGCACAACACCACCATCAGGAATGGAAGAGAGAGTTCAGACGTCTCCTCTGTGCCAACTGATGTTGGGGTATTCTCAGGTGTAATATTACTGTACAGTTGTAATGATGGTCAGTTTCTCTTACGATCTATATCTTTAGAGCCAAGCGAAGGTTGGGCTCCATCTGCGATGACGAAGCTCAGAGATGGCAGAGCCTTCGGACTCCTGAAACAGCTGTGTCACCTGCTCTCCGATGTCAACAACCACAAGGTCAGGGGTCAGGGGTCAAGGGTCAGGAGTGACTCCAGTCCACAGAGCGAATGGTCTCTTCTGTATTGTCGTCCTTAATTTTCCCAGATGTCCGCTTGGCTTGGCTGATGATGGGAAGATGGGTAGGAGAGTGCTGTTCCCAACCAAGGGTGAGGGAGACAGTCGCACAAAGGATAGAGCCCGAACACTACAACGCAGGTTCTGTGCAGAACAGCCTCTCTTCAGTCAGTAGATGCTTACCTGCGTTCTCCGGTCCGGTGTACTGTCTTTCTAGTCGGGTCCTTGAGGGCTGAGGCTCTGTCTGCGAATCTGGGAGTCCCAGGAAGAAGCGAGGCCGGGGATCTCGTTCACTTGGTGCTTCAGACGCCCTGTGGCATCCTTCCGGCCCGGACACCGAG